TGAATTATATAATGTTATTTATTATGAAATATCAATTAAAAAATATCAATGTTTATAGCCTTATAATCCCTTTAGATAAAGAACTTTTATATCCCAATAGATAAAGTCCCCTCCCCTCTGTCCCCTCCCCTCTTTATAATACAATATTTTTTTTTAATGAAAAACAAACAAAAAGTTTTTAAGAAAATAAACAAAATTAATAAAATTTACAAAAAGTTAAATTTCTCAAATAATAAAATAATCTCATTGATTTCTTTTAAGTCGATACTATAAAATCTTCCACTGTTTGACTGGACTTTAAGAGATTGCACTTTGTATAAAATATGCATCAGAGGTACCCAACAAAGATCATCTCTGCATAACCACGTGAACTTGTTACATAAAGACTTTTTCATGAATTTCATATTAAGATCTTGATGCTCTTCTGAAATACTAAGAATATTTCCTAAATACCATTGAGCATCGTAAATGCAGGCCACATATTCTCCTGTTGAGTAACTTGAAATTTTATTAATAAAAATTCTGCAAGTAGAAAAATCCACATTAGTGCAAATAATATCAAATGAGACTCTTCTTATTTTTATTGAGGTAAGTGACATTGGCATAAAACTGTGGTGGTTTCGTGTCCCAGGTATTGTAGAACAAGAACGATATCTCTCTTCCAAATTGAAGTTTGTAGTATGTGTTTCTATTGAAACTTTGTCAACAACAAAAAAAGATATTCCTTTGACGTGTTGAACACACCAGCTGTACATTTTGCTTGGTGTGTCAATAGGATCGTTTAGTGATTGTAGACTGGCTCATGCAACAAGACGTTTCACTGTTCCACCAACACCATCACAAGGGCTTTTACCATGCGATGTTGCAAAAAAGTGCCACTCTGCAGTCATGTCAAAATCGTGTTTATGGTAGCATAAGTTGATAAGATTTTTGTAATTTTTATATTGTGATGCAGCTCCATTACTAAAATAGATGATGTGTTCAAATGTTTGTAATTGTTTAAGTTTATCAATAACATTACCGATAAAGCAATGAACAGCATCTGTTCCATGTTTCAGATGATCTGATATAACACAATAACTTTGACTATCAAGTTTTCCATCTTTTTTTAAATATGCAACAAAGGGGTGCACAGTTGCTTGGCTGTTATTCCAGTGAAAATCTTGCACTGCATCCTGTATTAGAAAACTATAGTTTTCTGCAAAGTCAAAAAGAACCAAAGCTTGATTTTCTTTTAAATTAGTTTTCAAATGTTAGTAGTAGGTGGCTTGACTTTTGGATATAAAATGATGCTCTCGTAAACTATCTAACTGTTCATAAACTATTTCAATAAATTCATCTAAAGGTAGAGTTGCTGGTACTAAAGTACATTGGTAATTTGATTTTTGCCATTGATAAAAGTTAACTTCACTGATTTCATTTTCTGTAAACAAAGTGTCAATGTAGTCTAACAAAACCTTTTTAGCAGGACATTTATCACAGCTATACAGCATACAATCTCTATATTCAATGCTACAAACCATTAATTTCAATAAGATTTTGTAATCAGTAATTCCAGGAGTTTTCTGTACAAGGAGCTTTACATTTTGATGGTACTGGCAAACACAAACTGCATGCACCACTTGGGCCTTAGCTCACAAAATTTCGAAAATCCAACTTTAAGATAATTATATTTCTTTTTAAACTCAATATGTAGCTCTTTCATTTTGACTAGTAGAAGTCGCTTTTGGATATGTTGCTTTATACTATCTACTTTAACTGAAACAAACTCTTTTTTTCCTGGACAAACCCTTGAATATTCATCGCATTCATAGAAATGAACAACCTCTGTAATTACATCTTCGCTTAGTTTTCTACCCAATTTTGGAGAAGGTTTTGATAGTATTCCACTTTTTTTCCTTAATTTTCTGGCTTGTACTACAGATCTTTTTGAAGTCAAAAAAAACTTCTGAGTTTTCTCTATTGACCAACTTTCTGGAGTGAGTGTAAGAAGTGTGATTTTTTCAGAATTTGACAATGTTGACTTATTTTGTTGTTACAATGTTGTTACAATGTTGACTTATTTTGTTGTTACAATGTTGACTTAATTTGACAATTTTGACAATTTTGACTTAATTTGAGTCATAATATTGTATAAATCTGTGTTTGTTTTTTTCAAACATTTTTTTGAGGGTGATTCAATTCCACCAAGTGCAGCTATTTCTAAACCTAGCACATTGGCAACAGTCTTTTGTGTATGAGCTCTTACGCTATCAATTTTACGCTTTCCATATGCAACTCTATCTTTTTTTGAAACAAGTTTTAGAGGTGAGCATCCAAAACTTGCAATACTTGAATTAAGATCTTCTTTTAGTGTATGGTTGTCAACATAAATTTCTTTTTCTTGGACTTCATTTTCTTTTGTATTATGTTTGCAATTCAGAACTTTTCTGCAACTAGTGCAAGTTTTTTGACCAGGTATTAAACCAAAATCTTTGGCATATGAAAGACTGATAACTCTAAGAGAATCTAAAAAATAACGAAAATAATTATTAAATATTGTTTTTTTTTATTTATTTAGTGTTATTAAGGTATTTTTATTAAATTAAGATATTAAATATTGAAACTTACTTTTCACTTTTTTTGCGTGCTTGTTCAACGGATTACCTGCGATGTTCATTCTCATACCTTCACAAGTAAACTTTCTTGTGATAGCTACAAATAAAATCTATGGGATTTATTTTGCTTCTCAAAGAAATAAGCTCTTGGTTTAGTGTAGACAGTTTTTGGTAGCATTTACTTTTTTAGACTTGTTAAACTTGATAAGATAGCACTGTTCATTTAATGCTTTACCAATACAGTAAAAGCTCAGGCATATTACTCATTATTAATTAGTTCTAAAATACAACAATTTATTTGGTTTTATTAGTACTTTTTAGATAGACATATTAGTAATATATAATTAAATGAAACAATAACTTTTAAAAAGTAACAATTTTATGGAAAATTTACCTGACTTTTAGAGACTACCTTTTGGGAGTTATAAATAAGCGCCCATTAATTTTTTTGGTTTTTATAAATTAACACTTTTTAATTGATGTGTATAAAAAATTTTATGAAAAAAAAAAAGTGCCATCTTAGGTAACAGATGCTTTGCATCACAGATCAATTTTACAAAAATCTTGATCCAACTAAATGCAGCTCTTTAATCAACTGATTTTTTTAAAAATGTTTATCCACCACATGTAGATCAGCAGGCAATTTGATTTGTATTAATCTTTTAATTAGTTTTCAAGATTAAGATCATTAAAATCACAAAAAAAAATATTTTAAAAACAAAAATCTCAACTTTAGCCCGTCATTATGGAAAAAGTTAAGATGCCAGAATTAAAATTTTTTTCTTTTTCCAAAGTATTTACAGCACACTTGCTATCTTATAATAACTGAAGTATAAAACTAAATTGTTCAAAAGTTATTGGCTGTTAAAAATTATGAAAAAAACCTTTTTTCTTGTAGAGTGAAACTTTATGCAAAATAGCCCACTACTTAAATAGCATTTTCTCAAGAACCATATTAGATATTGATCTAAAATTTTCAAAACATGCTTTTCACATATATATGTACAAAATAAAAAAATTTCAATAAAATTTGAGATGGTCCATGAGGGACCTCATTAAAATTTGCACCACTTGGCACGGAATGACCCTATATTCATTGCTGCATTTAGTTCATATTACATAATGTAACTGTTAGCTTATCTAAGTATTTTTTATACCCATTTTCCCCCATTCTTTTTAACTAATATTTAAAATTGTTTGGTTTTCCACATTCCTATTACTATTTACTAAAAAGAGGAATTTCTCCTGCTTATAAATCTGTAACTTGTGACTGTTTATGTTAAATACATCATTTTTTTACAACAAAGTTTTACCTGTTGGTGAGAGCACATGGAAACCAAAACCATAATGGCGGCACACCCTGTAGAGAAGCAGTGCAGTAACAAAAATTCCCAATTACAATTTTTTTTAATAAAAATCATTTCACTATCATAAAAAACTAAAATTTATTTCAATGCATTAATAGTGCATTTGTAACAAAATTAATAAACTGCTCTACCCATTTTACCCTAGCTACCCATTTTACCCCGGTTGACCCTACTTTCTCAATTATCTTACTTTTTATTTCCTATTATGTTTATTATTAATTACTTAACATCTTTTCAATAATCTTTTGTGAAATTTCATGGTAATTCTTTATTTTATAAATGTAACTATTGTAAATACTATTAACATTTCAATCTAGCCAAATTGTTTATATACAGAAATTGCAACTACATTTTTATACCTGATGTTGTCAATTAATTTTGATGAAACATGTTAAAAAGTTATATATATATATATATATATATATATATATATATATATATATATATATATATATATATATATATATATATATATATATATATATATATATATATATATATATATATATGTATGTATATATGTATATATATGTATGTATGTGTATATATATATATATATATATATATATATATATATATATATACATACACACATGACACATTTCTGCGCTGATAGGATGGTCATTTTTAAGTTAGCCTGCCCAATTTAAAAAGTTAATTTTTCCTGCTGTTCAAAATAAAAATAGCAAAAAGAATGCTTTGAATAAATACTAGATAAAATAGTTTAAATGGAAACTGGTAAAAAAGGCCAGGTTTCATAAAAATTGAAAAAATGAACATCTTTTTATGCGCATCTTTTTATGCGCTTTGCAATGTTTTTGCAGGTGTGTGGGCATGAAAAAATTTAAGCGTAAAAGCGCTGGCTAAACGGAGAAGACTGATATATATTTTATAGTTTTGTTATCTATTATTAGTATAAAAATAAACAATTTTTTTTTTATAATTAAGGCCTAAGGGGCCACTATAGTTTAAAAGTTTTGAACCTTTTAAATTGTAAAATATAAAAATATATGTAGCAAATGATACTGACATTTAGTGCTTCAAAAGCTGTGGATTCATATATGGATGATGTTTGTAAATTACTTCGTAGTACTGGTTTTAGTTCTAGTGCTAGCATTAAACGACCACCAAAGTATCCAGAAGATTATTTCAAGTAAGAATTTTAAAGATTAGATTTTTTTCAAAAGGGTTTTTGAGCTTATGAAGATTTTAATTCTTGTTTGTTTAGGAGAGTCCAAATATCTGAAACATTTATTGAGATGCTCATAGGAAGACTTCGTTCAGATGATATTTACAACCAGGTTAATTTCTTATATTTATTCGTACTTTAAAATGTAAATATTAGTTTGCTATGACCATGGTGAAGGTAACTTCAATATGGACAAGTATCTTTTGAAAATACTTTTAGTATAAATTCTTTTTGTATAAAACCACCAATTTAATAATGGGTAAGGGTAGGAAGAACTTGTAAACTTTAGATATATCTCTATCCATTTTATATCTCAATCAGATGATTCTATGATCACTTTTTATATTCATACTTTTTTTATAGGTAGCATCTTATCCATTACCTGAACATAGAAGTACTGCACTTGCTTCTCTATCCATTTTATATCTCAATCAGACGATGCTATGATCACTTTTTATATTCATACTTTTTTTATAGGTAGCATCTTATCCATTACCTGAACATAGAAGTACTGCACTTGCTTCTCAAGCTTCAATTTTATATGTGATACTGTATTTTGCTCCTGATATTCTCCACAATCAACCTGCTAAGATGAGAGAGATAATAGATAAGCACTTTCCTGATAACTGGGTTAGAAATATAGATGCTACAGATGTTTGTTTTATTAAAGCATTTTTATCTTTTCTTAAATAAAATAATTGATTTTTTAGGTTATTAATATTTATATGGGTATTGTTGTAAATTTATGTGAAATGTGGGAACCATATCGAGCTGCTCGTACTGCATTGAACAACACTGTTGAAATTCAGAATGTCAAAGATATTGTAATTTTTAATTTAAACTTTATTGTTTTGCAGTTTTTGGATTTTTATTTAAATAAAAATTTAAAAAAATTTTTCATTCAGGCATCTCGTTTCATTAAAAAAGTTACTTCTCTCAATACTACGGTAAAATTAAGTTTTAATAATTCTTATGCAAAATGATGAATTGTGTTAACACATGTCGTGAAAAATTGTAGAGTTTGAGTAGTTTTAATTTTTCAATTAAATTTTAAATGATCTTTACTATAATAAATCAAAATTTACTAACATATACTAAAATTTAGTTTTGTTTTTATTTAGACATTAGGTTTTTTAAAAGAAGGTGTTTTAACTGAAGAACTTATTCTTGATAATATTCCAAAATTAATGAATGTTCTTCGTGAATGCAATACAACATATAGATGGTTGATGCTTCATACTGCCGAAGGAAGTAAAAAAATTTTTTTTTCTTTTTTTTTAGTCCCTATTTTTTATTTAATAGTTTTCTCTTAAGATTTATGAACATATAAATTTTGCATATAACATATAAATTTAATTCATAGTTTCAGATTTACATAAGAAATCAAAACAAATTCGTGATGCCATTATTGCATGTGGTCATGATCCTGTTCTTTTATTCCAGCTTTTATTGAATACGTCCCATTTTGAATTTCTACTCAAAGAGGTTTTTATTTAATAAATATTTTATAGGAATAATGTTATAATTAGTTATAATGTAAATAACTATGTTATAATTAATTATAATATTATTATAAATAGTTATGTTATTTAGTATGGCTGTAACTAAATTATAATAATTATGTTAATTCTATATTTTATATTGTAATTATTTTAAAATAAAAAATAAAAGAATTTAAAAGTTTAAAAAAAGGCATTTAAACTGATTAAGGAGAGATCCATCCTCTCCTATGTTGTATTGTATATGTCATTTGCAGTATACCTGTATACTGCTTCATTTGCAGTATACAGGTATACTGCAAATATATAATTTATCTTGATAACTCTTTAAAGACATATGTTGGACATTTATTATTTTCTGTAGAGTTTAAATGTACTATTATATGTATATATGTAATATAGAGTATGTTTCAATGTACTATTTGTACTTTTAATTGTTTATTTTTGCTAAAGAGTTTCCATGTTTAATCATTTTTTCATGCTTTTATCTTTTTACTAATAAAGTTAAAATCCAAGGGTATTACCTTTCCCCATCATTTTTCTTGAAATTGATTAACCTTTTAAAGTAACGCTTGTGTATTGACTGGAATTTCTGGTGTTAGTGCATTCAATTTTAAATATTAATCTGTTTTTAAGTTTTTTTTATACAAGTTGTTTTTATAAAACTTTGTAAAAAATAAAAGTATTGCTGGTTTATATTAAAAAAAAAATTTTTGGTTATCAATTTAGATATTCAAGCAGATGTTGTCAAGCAAAAAAAATAAATGGGAAAGCTGTAAAAAAGAATGTGTTGATAGAATGGATGAACTAAGTGAGGTTTTTAGTGGAACTAAACCTCTAACTAGAATTGAAAAAAATGGTAATTTCTTTATATATTAATGTTGTTTTTTTTTTTAATTTTCTTTAAAATTTTAGTTTTATTTATATTTTTTTATTGTTTTGTGATTTTATAAACTTTATCAGAGAATCTAATGGCTTGGTTTAAAGAAATGTCAAAACAAATCGGTTCACTTGATTATGATGATTCTACATCAGCTGGAAGAAAAATGATTCAGCTTATTCAAGCTCTTGAAGAAGTAAACTTTTTAAATTTCATTAACACTGTTGTTACTGAAGGCCACTTGGTGGTATATAGGTGGCAAGACAAATGTATATATTTTTTTTCTTAAGGATTAAGTCAAAATAAAGCATTTGATTTGATTTAGTTATTTATTGGGGTAAGCAAAGCAAAATTGTTCTCTAAAAATATCCTAACTTTTAAGCTAAGTTGATAAATTATAAGGCGACAATCCCACTTGCTACATTTTCTCTAGATATTTTTAACTTAAGCTAAAAGACTACCGAAAACAATTAAGTTTTTATTTTTCTGAAATTAGTTAAAACAATATTTAGTTTCCTTTTTTTTATTGTAATATTTTTGAAGTTTAAAGTTAAACTTGTGGAAATTAAACTTTAATAAAAGTTTATGTGGTTTATGATAAACTGGATACTCTTCCTGGCATTACCCTGTTTCACAGATCAGAACTGATTGTTTATTGTGAAACTACTGCTAAGAAGATTACAACCCATCATGTTTTGATACCATACCATATCATACCATACCATACCATACCATAGGAAAGCATCTAAGAATTATGAGCTTCTCTAACCCTTATCAGCATTTAAATTTAGGATTTTATATCAGAGTTTTCCTTTTCCTCTGTAAGTTATCTACACCACCACAAAGGAACCTTACCCTAATAGAGAATAGGGTTAGCATAACCAGGACCAGAATCTTAAAAACAAATAGTAAATAGTTCACTTTTTTAAGAATATTTTTAGTGTATTGTTTTTGGTTTCAAAACAATGCAAAAATGTTTCAGTAATAAATTGTTTTGTTTTTTAATAGGTACAGGAATTTCATCAGTTGGAATCAAATATGCAAGTCTTTCAATTTTTAGCAGATACTCGCAAGTACTTGCATCAGATGGTTCGTACAATAAATATTAAAGAAGAGGTGATTTAAATATTAAAAGTTTTAAGATTCAAATTTTTTTCTTATCATCCTTAATATTATCGTTTTATCTGAAATATTTATTTTTATTTCTTTTACATCTTTATTATGTGTACACTGCTAATTTTTGTGCGCTATAATTTTTAAAGTTAGGTTTTTAAAACTTAACTTGAAAAAGAAGAATAATTATGAATAAAAAATAAATATTTTTGTTGTTGTTGTAATGGAGATAAAATACTTTCAAAAATATTAAATTTCTTAACAATATCCATAAATTTGGGTTTGAAAGTAAAACATCATTTTTGACCATCCTCCAGATGGCCATATCATACTGATATAGCCATCTGGAGGAGCTTCAGAGAGAGAGAGAGAGAGTGTGAGAGAGAGATATAGAGAGAAAGAGATTCTAGATTTATATATTTATATAAAATTTATATATGTATATTTATTTATACATATAAATTTATAATATTAATAACAATTATAATATTAATTATAATAATAAATTTAAAATATATATATAAGTATTAAATATATGTAAAGAAACTCTAAAAAAGCATAAAATCTTAAAAAAATGTAAATGTGAAAATCCAAATATGGTTATTTTAAAACCAAGTAAAAAAATCTTTGGTAGAGCCTGTATTACAACAGGTTCTACCAAATCATTAATGATCCAAAAAAAGTTAAAAAACTCATGAAAGATATCAATATCATCAGAGAAACACAACTACAAAATTTCATTTGGAAACTCCGGGCAAAGGTTTCTTTGATGACTCTAGATATAACAAAATCCTTCAGGCTCTTGTCCTGCCCTTTGGCTTTTTGTATAAAATTAGTTCTTCTAACCTTAAAAAAAACTTTAGACTTTTATTATATCATCTAATGGTACTTATAATTATCTTCATTAATACTTTCTGACCAATATAATACTTATGTACTAATATTCCATTGCAGAGAACAAAAGATATTGTTATTGATATTCCATTGCAGGGAAAAAAAGATATTGTTGTCAATTGCATAAATAGTAAAGTTTATAAAAGTGATGTAAAAAGCTTTTTAACTTTATAATATCTTAAACTTGTTTTCTATTCAAAGGATAAATTTGGTATTCTCCTTTAATATCTTTTATACGAGTTATTACGAGAGAATAATTATTCTCTCTTAATACCTCTTCTTGCTAATCTTTTCATGAGAAATTTTGGGGATAAATGGATCAAATTGTATAATAGAATAAAACTAGCATTTTACAAACATGTTGATGACATTTTTGCTGTTTTTCCAATCATTTTGAATCATTATCAATAATAAATATTGTTTATATTTCTTTTAACCTGGAAGATTAATCGAAAATTTATTTTTCAAACTTAACAATAATTGAAAAAAAAACAATTCCATAATTACCTCTGTTTTTCATAAGTAAATCTTCTCGGGGCATTACGCTAATTTTTTTAGATTCACTTCATTTTCAAGCAGAGTGAATCTAGTAAAATGTTTATTCGATATATAATCGAAACATCTTTGTTTTAGTCATAATATTAACATATAAAAACTCTCAAATGCAACTTTGTACCTGTCTTGATTGATTAAGAAAATCCATAGTCCTTATCTTAACAACATTAATAAAATTTTAATGTTGGTTGGAAAAACTACAAAGTTCTTGTGTTTTAAAATCTGATTAACCAAGCAAAAGAGTCATAAAAAGTTGGTCACAGTAGATGGTCTTCACTTTACTAAAAATTTCAAAATGTTGACTATAAAATTTAAATGTGCAGGATGTAAATCCTACTATATTAGCTTATATACTCTCGATTGTCTTTTATAAACTTCTATACTTGTATGTCTCTATTGTTTTTCTCTTTTAATTACTTTAAACCAATTCTGTTTACATATTTGAATATATGTTAATTAGGTATGACTATGTAATAGTTGAAGCATATACTAAAAATTTGTAAATTAAATGTTTTTAACAAATTTAATAAAAGTTGTCTATTAGAGTTTTAGCTACATATATACATATGTATTTTGTGCTAAAAAGATTTACAATACTATTATGTTTTGCTCATGTATATATATATATATATATATATATATATATATATATATATATATATATATATATATATATATATATATACATATATATATATATATATATATATATATATATATATATATATATATATATATATATATATATATTTACTTATTTATTTATTATAATGAAGGTGTTGATAACAATTGGATTGGTTGGTGACTTGAGTTATGCCTGGGAGATAATGGATCGGTAAAGTATGTTTTCATTCTTTTTATGAATGTTTCTCTTCCTTTAGAAAATTTATTTCTTTATATTTACATCTTTTCTATTTCATTATGATAAATAAATTTTTTTTCTGATGTTTGGGATGATGGTTGATGATGGTTTATTGTTGTTGATGTTTAGTATAATTACAATGTTTGATTGTATATCCTTTTCTTATTAAGGTATACATTACTAATGCAGCAAGGAATTAAGAAGCAGCCTAATTTAGTTATTAAACTACGAGCTACTTTTTTAAAGGTTTTTTTAATTATTTTAATTTTTGCTACTACACTAATCTATACCAAAGTTGCTACTCAAGTCTGTGTATTGCACACAAATTCCTTACTCAAAATGTTGTAAAACAAGTTTTCATGTAAGGTTTGCTTTTATAACTATATATGTATATATATATATATATATATATATATATATATATATATATATATATATATATATATATGTATATATATATATATATATATATATATATATATATATATATACATATATTTCTACTGCAAGTTTTATTGCAATTTCTATTTGTTTAAAGCAAACATGCAATAAAACTAAAATATTTGAACCAAACATGTAATAGAACTAATGAAAAGAAAACTAATAAGTATTACTAATAATTTTCTAATTATGTTAAATGTGATAATAATTTTTAATTGAATTTTGCAGTGTGGCTAAATGTAGAAATTGTGAATTAAATTTGAATTTGTTTTAGATGGCGTCAGCGCTTGAACTACCCTTGGTTAGAATTGGTCAAGCCAACAGTCTTGATTTTGTTAGTGTATCACAATACTACTCAGGTGTACTGGTCACTTATTTAAGAAAGGTAATTTTTTAATTTTATACCAGTTATTAGTTTTAAGTATTTATGAAATATACTTTCCTGTTTCTTGATTCTTTTTATTTTCTTTCAGGGACTTTTCTTTCAATAAGTAAAGTTAAAGTTTTTTTGTTAAAGTTTGTAAGTTTGTTGTGCTTCTCGTGAAACATTGGGAAAACAAATCCAAAATTGCAATTACAATTACATTTTCATTTTTTGACTTTGTCTAAAAGAGAAAGGGCATCATTAGAAGAACCATCCCAAATATGACAATTGTTTTCCATAGAAGAAAAATAAGAGATTTATAGAAATAGAGAATGGAATCAGGGATGAAAAAATGGTGAACACAATAAAAATGCAATTTTAACAGATTCTAACGTTAAAATGGATTGGATATATGATTTTCATGATAGGACAGTAGTGAAATCTACTTTATCAAATATTTGCCTATTTTAACTGTAAATTAAACTTTTAGCTTTTTTGTATGAAAGCTATTAGTCTAAAGAATAAAATAAGCTAAAAAGTTTTGAGTCTGGCCAAAAGAGGGTGATCTTATTACTGAAAATGCCACTTATCTTATGTTACATGGAAAATAAGTAAAGAAAATTGATTCAGTAAAACGGTTTGTATTAGAAACTTTCAGAACATGTTAAAATTCTATGCCAACTTAAAAAGTATATATAAAATTTTATTAGAGGTGACCGGCTAAGGAAAATAAACTTGTTTTTTTTAAAACTATATATTCAACTTACGTTACATCACTTATGTTACCGAGCGATATTTACCATGGATTTTTTATATCTACTATTCAGAGCTAGAGTCATGTAACAAAAGAATAGCAAAAGTTTTGAATATTTTTAAAAATAATTAACGAAGGAAATTTTAAAAAACTAGTGGCACTCTTCCTGAGTGATTTTTCATAACATTTATTAAAGTTATCTAATGGAAAACAGTTTTTACACAAGACCAAGAGCAGCTTTAAAAAATTATTTTAGTATTACAACACTTATTTAAGTCATTTAAATAAGAAAATCTTTTGTCAAAGTTTTTACTTACACTCCTTACGTTTATGTGTATTGCCTTATGTTCAACTTTAGTTAAATTTTTAAAATGCTGCAAAGTATTTACATTTAAATCTTTTAAAATATTTTTTGACAAAAAAACTGATATCACAGTTTAGGAGTGAGAGGGGTTTAGGTATATGTGATTGTCAGTGGCGTGCTGGCCCCAGAGGCTATGCCGGAATCCCGCTTGGGCCTATGACTATTTATCCTAGAAGGGCATTTTTTTTGAATTTTTATACTCTTTACTACATTCTGAAAATGATTCACAAAAGATATTTATTTGCTTTACTTTTTATTCCACAAGTTAGATTCTTTAACAAATCTCAAACTATTTCGAACTGTTAGACTTCAAGCGCTTATGTATTAGTATTTTGCATAATAAAATGCAACTGTTTGTAACTTTTGCGTCAAAACAAGGTCGATATTGGAAAAAAATCATTAATCGTTACGTCACTTAAATTGCTTATTATATTAGTCATTATCTAGTTAAAAATATTTATATATTGTGTGTGTGTGTGTATATATGTGAATGTATCTCTTTAATAATACTGAACTTAATAGTAGTAGTAGTGTGCTTTCGAGCCTGTTTGACACGATACTCTTGGCAACCATTGCATCCGAGGTAGTGACGAGAAAGAGTCTCACCCTTGCTTTATAAGAAAACGTGAGCAAACGTGAAACTCATATCGTACGTACCTAAACTTCATGTTATGTAATGTTAAAACATGCTTAAACATATATCAAGTTCTACAGTTTGATTTTCACGTAAGAAATGCATTTTGTCAACCTCTTCTTAATTTCTGATCTTTTGTATTTATATCCATCAAAAACAATTTTTATATAATTTCAAATCTTCGACACTCGACGTGCCAGTGTAGTCGAGTGGTTAGTGCGCTGGGCTACATAACAAGAAAGCCGTGGTTCGAGTCCTACCATCGTCGACATTCTGTTTTAATTTTTTTGCATATGTGTCATTATTGAGATACTTATAATATTTTAGTTAAACTTGTTAAGTTTATTTACAACTAAATTGAGCTAGTGCAGGGAAAATTAGTAAAAAACATGTTTATATATAGAATATAAAACCTATATAACTTTTGATTTGCATTTTAAACAACAAAACCGCAAGGCAAGCTGATGAACTTGCCACGCGGCGACCTTAACTTTTATTAAAAACGGTAAGGGGGTTTAAAAAGTATATTTTTATTAAGAACATAATTAAAAATTTTAATTTTATATTTAAACTTAATTATTTTATAAAATTTATTGTTTCTAAAAATAGTTAAAAGTTAAAACTATTTAATATTAGCATAGTAAAGAAATTTAGAGATTTACAGCTATTTATCAACGGCCCTGTTAAACATTCTTAACCGAGAGCGCATCAATTACTTTGATGACTTAAATAACATGAGATGCACTAGGCGCTGTAGATGTGCACGCGATAAGTATTTAAATTGCTTTTTTAACTTTCATGAATCTCTGAATATCTTTGAATATCTTTTTAATCATTATCGTAAAACTATATTTATTGAATATACTTTTATTTATGAATTTTACTTATAATTGTATTTTGTAATTTTCAATCTGTTTTTCTCAAGAAAACTTTTTAGTTTGTTTCTCAAATAAGTTTCTATATTTTTTTATCTTTAGAATTTTGGAGTTTTGAATAGATATATCGTTTACAAAATAAGTTAAAGTATAAAGACTAAATTAGGAACAAGTTTAGATATGGTTGGGTGTGGATTAGATTTACCACAACCCATATCGTACGGGTCATGACAGCTAATATATGTATATATATATATATATATATATATATATATATATATATATATATATATATATATATATATATATATATATATATAATAAATGTATACATGTATATATTTATATAAATTAGTAAAAACACTTATCCAATTTTTATTTTCTTCTACAGCTTGTTTCTCCATCAGTAGGATCATCAGGAAGATATATATATATATATATATATATATATATATATATATATATATATATATATATATATATATATATATATATATATTATATATATATATATATATATATATTAATTGGAACACTTAAAGAATGAATTACCCAAAGATGGCTTTACTTCAAAAACATCCCTACTATACCCTACTATACTTTTAACCACAA